AAAAAGACAAATACTGTATGATGTCAGTTATATGTGGAATCTAAAAAAGGTGACCTCATAAAAACAGAGAGTAGAATGGTGGTTACCAGAGGGTTGGTTGGAGGGGATGGCAGGAGAGATATTGGTCAAAGAATGCAAAATTTCAGTGAGATAGGAGGAATAAGTTTGAGAGATCTATTGTACAATACAGTGGCTACAGTTAATAATGCTGTATGGTATTCTTGAAAATTGCTAAGAGATAATTTTAAGTGTTCTTACCACAAAAAGTGATAAGTATATGAGATAACATATATGTGCATTATCTTAATTTAGATATTCCACAAAGTATGTATATTTGAAAACATCATGGTATACATAATAAATATGTACAATTTTTATTTGCATATTCAAACAATAAATGAATTAATTTAAAAAATAAAGGTGGAGGACTGTTTTCTATCAGACAGTTTTAAGAGTGATAGCCACATCTCAAAAATAAAATTCTGCCATACTCTTAGAAGCAACACAGATTACTGAAAGAGTCATGGGCTGGAAGTAAAGAGATGCTATTTTTAGTCCTGGCTTACTATTGGTGTGATCTTAGGCAAGTCACTCAACTTCCCTGAAGCTAAGTTTCCTTGTAGGTGTAATAGAGATGTCAGTGTCTGCTCTACTTAAACAACTGCGTGTTAAAAGTTCTTTATTCATCCAGCACTTGTTAGTGTTTATTGGGATCTTCCTGTGGAGATATCAAGACAAATACAGTTTAGTCCCTTCCCTCACAGAGAGGGAGATGTAGTGTAAATAGGAATTTGGGGTTGGATTCACAGAATGTTCTGGAAAGAGGAAATCTTGCAGAAGAAATAGGAGTTAATGCAGAGAACAGAAGAAGAAAAGAGCATTCACAATAGAGGGCCCAGCATTATACAAAGGTAATGAGCTGTAACAGTGTAAGGTGTTGGGGGACCCGTGAGTCATTCAGTTGGCTGAAATAGAAGTGAAACAGTCAAAGGTGAGGTGAAAAGGTAGACACAATCCAGTTTATCGAGGGTAACAGGTGCTATGCTATGGATTTGCATTTTAACCTCAAAGCAATGAATGGAAGTGAAGGGCTATGCAGAATTACAGAAAGGGGAATCATGGTTTTAGAAAACTCACTCTGAAGGCAATAGAGACAATGAATCAGAGGCTGGAAAACTAATTCAGACTCTATAGTATTACTTCAGGTTAGCTCAGGTGAGGAAATGCAAAGGTCCAAACTAAGATAGTGGCAACAAGGATGGAGAAGAAAGAAAAATCTTGAGATGGTCTGGAGGCAGTCTGACTGGGGGCGTATAGGAGAAGGGGAAATTAGGGTAAATTAAAAGTTCCTGACTTCCCTAGGTAGATAGTGTATTCATCCATAAGACAAAAAAAATAGAAAAGATGAAGTAGGCTTCTGGAACTAGAAAAGTTCAGTTTTGGAATGTTGTGCTCATGCCTATAGGATATCCAAGTGGTGATGTGCAGAAGGCAACAGGATGGATGAGATGCATTTGCCAATGCTGTGAGCTATTCCAATGTGAACAATATTACTTGAATCCAATTCTACTATATTTTCAGTATGTGTATTAACTCTTGCAAGGCCACTAGGGAAATTACAACGGTATACATAGTCTATTTAACAGTACTCTAAGGGCTTCAAAAAATAGAGACATCTTTCACTTTACTGGATTTTCTTGCTTAATGGAAATTACTTAACTATTTCTATTGTGAGCTACCACTGATGTCTTGTAGCTTCTTGCTCATGTTCATGTGGCTGGCATCTGGACCGGATTAAAAAGAACTACTATACAGATGGAGACAGAGGACAGTATTCTGGAACCCTTCTTCCATCCAACATGGCTGTCTATCACATTTTTTCCTATATGCATTCTTACTTCCAGCTGCCATGGGGTCATCAAACCCTAGCTTAAATCAAATGTCCTCTGGCTCCAGGTCCCATGATGAAAAATTTATGAAGTCCTGGACATATTACAAGTTTTACAGCTTTACAGCTGAAATCCTTCAGGTCCTCCTGACCTACCGAAGGAAAAAAATATGTTTTATTTTATTGTAATTCCCAAACGTTCTAGTGCGCACGTTTTTCCAGCAGAATGTACATGTTGCTTCCAGCAATGTGTTTTATATTTCCTTGAAGACTAGGGAAGCTCTGATAGAAGGAAACAACTTAGTCTTGTTGCCAATAGAAGAGACAACAGAACTTGCCATTGAAAGCAGGACTAGTTGACCAAGTCTGTGGATCATCAGTTTGTATTTTTCTTTTACTGAGGAGACCCTATATGTGTCAATGACTGCATCCTAATTATTTTGAAAACAGTTGAATCCCCCAACTAATGATATGTTAGCTTCTTAGGTGGGGGGTCATTTTATTAATAATATATATAAAGATTTCCCTATAATCTTAAAAATATCGTATGTTCTTATAAGGTCCAGGATGTAGCTAGCTTAACACCCTTGAATCAAACATTTCCTGGATAACATATGGGCTTTTCAAATATATGTCAAAACCTAAAGTCTCTCTCTCTCTTCAAGAGATTATAAGTAACATCAGTTTGGATGTGGCTTAAAAATGAGGTCCCTAAATGGGCTCACCTTGACAATGAAATCTGCTGTGAGTGGTCCAGCCATTCTCAGTATCTCTTTGTCTGGAAATTTCTGGAAGTCCACACTAGAATTGTCCACAAGAAAGGTGCCTGTAGAGCTGAGACTGTTTTCACCTTTAGCCCCCTGGAGGGTTTTGGTTTCCAGATCTACATAATCAAACACATGAAGAGGAGAGAAAGATGTTCCTAGGGCTACCACAGACCACATGCAAGCACATTTCATGCAATAAAGTTTAGAGCTGATGAAATTGAAACTGTGATATAAATAAAATATGTAGGCACTGCTGGATCACATAGGAGTTTATGCTGCAAATGAAATTATTTTATCACTCATTAGTCAAGCATTCAAGGCTCTCTGTCAAAAAATCTTTGACTCTCT